TCCAGCTATATTAAGACAGAAAATTTTCAGCACTTAGATTCATCAAGTTCATCATCAGGCAACAGTTATTGAGCCAGCTAATCCAAATTTTACCTGAACTATTCTTGTTTGATCTCCCTGTTCTGGATGAATTATATGCCACTTCACTACTTGTGACCTTTCCCTTCCATATATCAGCAAGAACAGCCTGCATAACAACCAACAAAGAATTAGAGAGCTAAGTCAATAAAAGATAACTGGCCGACATAAATACTTTATCTGAGGGAGAAGTACAATTAGTGGTGTAACCTAGTTACTTACCAACTCTTCCCCATAAGGGGTCACAAAAGCCAAAGGTTCTGTACATGTCACTTCAGAGGTTTGGGAAGATTCCTCCATTTCCGCAGGCATAGAACTGAATGATGGATCAAGCTTCTGTCGACGATATATGTCCAGAAGTTTTCCCCTTGGATAGCAAAATGAGGCAGTCAAAATGGCAGGCTTCCCAATGATGCTTTCAGAATTGTAGGAGGCAGAAGGAGGAGAAGCTCCTATAGGCAAAGACCTCCCTGCTGCACTAGACCTTCCTCGACCAACAGCAAACCCAGTGTTTGATCCTTCAACTCGAGCTCGCTCTGGCCCAAATCCCGGTGCCGCACGATAGGAAGAGGGGCTCGAAGAATGAACCTCCATCCTGTGCCTTGGCCTCCATTTGTCACGAGAGTCTGATGCCTCACGCTCAGCTATTCGGATGTTCCCTGTAGAAGCTTGATTGTCACTTTGAGGAGTATCATCTTTCTCTTTATCTTTCTCCAAATCTTGTTTCTTCTCAACTCGAGTTTCCTTATCTTTGTCTTCTGGGCCCCACCTAGATGACCATTTGTTATTGTCCCGTCGTGGTGCTTCATGCCCAGCAGCTGTACGATTCCCTCCATCATGCCTTCGCTCTGAGGAAGGTAGTACAGGCCTATTCTCAGTAGGTTCCCTGGCAATGATATCAGCACGACGATCCGCCACTTTCCTTCGGTCTCTTCTGGCACCAAGTAAGCCGGTTTCCCTTTCCTCTTCTCGCCACCGGCGACTAGTTTCATTCTCACTTGCAATCCTTCTCCAGTCCTTTTTATCCTCTGGTCCATCTAAACGCCAAGAATCTTTCTGGCCTGGATCATTTGCTGCCCCTAGAGAGAGAGATGAGGGAGAGCGAACATCCTGACACATGAAAATGCAACAAATTAAGCCTTACAAAGCACAGCAGTAATCAGGCTCAGATGGAAGAGACTTTCAGGGGGTAATCAGAGTGATAGAAAACAGAAAACACTAGCAGAAACACAGAATAATAGTGTCTGAATGCAAAAGAAAACACAGGGATACTCAGGTGGAATCAAATAGACGAGTTTTGTAGGATTCACCTGCTCCAAAGGTATCAAGTAAGAGTGTCTGAATGCAAAAGACAGCACAGGGAATCAAATAGACAAGTTATTAGGATTCACCTGAGGCAAAGGTGTCAAATTCAGGGAACACTTATTCAAAACCTCCCTCCCCCCAAGAAAAAGAAGAAAAAAAAGAGTGGGGAGCGCATACACAGATAAAAGAATCATTCAGCAATCTGTGAAGTGGCTATCTATTGGTACGGGATACAAATTGGTCCATGAATAGAACACATATCTGGAAAAAAAGACAGCGCGTATGAAACATAAAAGATGGATGGTTGAGATAATGCGCACCATCTTACTCTCACTCGGTTTCGTATAAAGCCACTGTGGAGACAAAGGTATGCTGCTATCTATCACCATTTGATCTGAAAAAAGAACGAACAATCAAAGGATTACTAAGCGGACAAAACTAACTGGAGAAAGAAAAAAACAGAGTATGGAATATGTTATGCCATCGTCCAACAAATAGAATTTCCGTATAAGAGGCTACCTTTGGAATCAAATTGTAAACCTCCAAGAACCTTATCCTCATCACTTCCTCCCAGAGCTTCCACTGCCACACAGCATCATTACAGTCCGAACCATCAGAAAAACGTTTATCTCCGGTCAAAAATACTGGGGGAACTATGTAAAGAAGGCTCGAACAACAAGTATTAATAATAAACTACTCAGCAAAGCTCTTATCAGTTCGTATCGCGAATCGTTCAATCGTCGAAGAAATACAACACGTCTAAAACCGCAAAGAAGACATGGGACTGATACAAATTAAGCAAGCTCTCGGGCAAATTGAAATGAAATCAGCGAAGGATAAGGAAAATCAAGAAGCAAAAGCGGAATGGCGGAGAACTCAGATCAAACTGGAGGCAATAACCATACATTACTAACTAGCGCTTTGCATCGAACAAACGGAAACCAAAAGAAATTGGACTATAACCAAATTGAGAGTGAAGGAGGGGAGCAGACCTCTAGGGTTGAGAGAGTGATCGGCGGGGGGGTTGGAGGAGGGAAGATCAACGTCGGGCAGATCGAACTTGCGTCCAGCCATGGAGAAAGAGAGGCGCGAGAGATCGGGAGAACTAAGCAGAGAGAGAGAGAGAGAGAGCACAGCAGAGGAACACTCCGGCACTGAGAATTTGGCAGACTGAGGGAGTAATTACAGTGAATCAATACAACAACGAGAACCAGTAGCAACCAGAAGCAGGAGAGGAACCAGCGGGAGTAGAGAGCACAAGGGGGAGCAGAAAGCGGAGCTGGTTTGCGGAGCGGAGATTGGATTGGAGTGTTTGCAAGGAAGACTTAGGGTTCGGGAGCTAGTGAAAGAGGATGACGATTGACGAAGAAAGAGAGAGAGAGAGGCAGTCGCCGGTGACGGCGAGAGCGGGAAGCGGCGGCGAGAGAGATAACAGAGAGATTGGGTTGGGTTTGAGGCGCAGCGAGCGAATGAGGGTTGTGTGAGAGAAGGGGAGGAGACGAGCAGCCAAGGCCAAGTTCGGGAAGAGAGGGTTTGAGAGGTTGGGTGGTCAGAATAGCTAAGAAAATCAGCTACCCTATAATCGAACCAAAATGTTTAGCGGAAAATGGTAGCAAAACAAAAACGAATAAACAATTGAATTAGAATTTAAATTTGGGAGCCAAATCAGCTAATTATTGGCATTACATGAAAAATTTAAATAATTGTTTGAATATGAATGGGTTGAATTTTAAATTTTTCATGTCGGGACAAAATTTACGGTGCGTATATTAATTCTCATCGAACTCTCGAGAAAAAGTAACGCATTAATATGAAATTTATTTTTTTGCGTAAATATAAATCTCCTCAATAAATGGCGGGTGAACCTACAAGACTCGATGGTCAATTCGAGACATAAATGTGCTTTGGTTAGGCTATTCTCAAGCCTGCATGTAAATCTCCCGAATAAATGGATTGTGACATATACTAATGTTGTCAAACTAGTTTAGTCAGTGAGGCAAATGGTTTGAGATTTATTAGTCGGGTCGAGGTTTGAGTCAGTTTATACATAATATAGAAATATATGCGTATATATGATAATAATTGAAGATTTCAATAATCTGAATTACTTTGATGGGTACCATACAATATAATAACAATCAATATATTATCTTACCCTAAAAGTTGTGTTTGCTTTATTTTTCATAATAGAGTTTGGGAGATGACCAAAATGCGGTATTTTGTCTAAGAATCTGAAACCAACCAATTCGGTCAGACCACTGATTTTTTACGATTTTGACCAATTTGGAGGAAAAATGGATTGTTGGGTCTCATTTTAGCACCGGCCGCCCTGACTATGGCTTGACAACCGTGCCTATAATACTCAATCCCATACCTAAATGTACGTTTATTAGGCCATTCTCAAGCCTCATGCCATGCCCATTTAAGAGCACAATTATCCTATGTTTGAAAGAATAACTTTAAATAGTCAATTAACTTATATGTTAGTTCACGCGACCCGTATAGTATACTTATTTTTTATGCTCACTTAATCATCTAAACATTGAACTAGTTTTGTTTTCTCCCTTTGAAAGCCCAAAGCATCATGGATTCCAGTTGCTAGTTTTGATTCTCCGTGGTTGAAAAGGAAGGTGAAATGGAGAGCCATATATATTTGTTGTGATGTGTCGGTTGCTTGCATAATAATGAGATTGGTATGGCTTTGTTGGGGCAAATTTGGATAAAACACTAAAAAGGAGCTCTTCACTTTTTCTTGAATCATTTTCTTGTTTAATAAACAATCATTATCATGATTCATGTGTTGTTTTCAATTAAGGATTTGAGAGATACAAACCATTCTACCGAAATAAAATAGCACGGGAAAGAAGCTTAATAAGTCAATTGAGTGTAGGATTAGCTTCTCAATTGTTGTATTATCAAAGTAGCTACCTAAACCCGTCATCTCCTTCACCATACTTCTAAGCAAAGATAATCCTTGCCTTTATTATACGTTAACGCGTACATGGGCTTTTAGAGCCCAGTTGGTTTGGTGCACGGCCCACGGGCTTTTGTTCCCTTCAATGCACGGAGCACGCTCCTGGATTTGTCCCGTTGCCCACCTAATAAAGTTTAACCTATCCGCCGCTGGGACTATCCGCAGCAATAAGAACTAGGGGTTGTTTGGAAGTTACGATTGTTAAATGGATGTATTATTGAGAATGCATGCATAATATTATACATGTATTGTCGAATTTGATGCATTGTACAATACAACTTTTGGTATGTGTGATTGTGTATGTCGCATCAGCTAAAAGCTGAGACAAAACAATCTCAACTCAACTATCTCAACAATCATAACTAAAAGTTGAGATATAACAATCACTCAAAATGAGTGATAGTTTCTGTCACGTCATAGAAACAATCCATGTATTGTTTCTGTTAAAAAAACAAAAAAATATGCATTGTAAACAATACATGCATAATGACAATCTCAACAAAACAATCGCAACTTCCAAACGATGCTAATCCGGATGGATATATAATGATAATTAATTGCACAAAATTAAGGGGGAAATTAACATTTCACACGTGAAAGTCGAGTCAGCCGCAGAGGCAGAGCCTCAAATCAGACACACGGTTCACAATTTCTTCCAAATTTTCGATTTTTCCAGCAGACAATCGGCGGCGGAGCCAATCCCACTCCGTCGCTTCTTCCGCCGCAGCTTGTCGCAGATGAACGCCCTCTCGAGCTGCTCCACCCTCTGAGACAAGGCATCCAGAAGCCGAGCCTGCATTCGATTCCTCTCGTACAACGCCGCCATCATCCCAATCATCCTCTCGTTCTCCCCTGCCATCTTCTCCAGCAGCTCCGTGTTCTTCCTCTTCTCTTTTTCACCGTCGCCATTCTTCTCGGAGTGATCTCCCCACTGCTTCTCGCTGGCGTTACAACCGTCACTATCATCTTCTTCCACCAGCGTCCAATTTTGCAGATCCTCCCATTGGCTCTCGGCCTGATCATCATCGTTAGTTTGCTCTCGGGAAATTTCAAGCTGAACGGCACAATCTGAAACTGAATCGCCGCCGCGGCCTTCAGCTTCAATTGCTGCTGCTGATTCAAGGGATTCGTGATTTTCAAAGCCGGAATCGGCAATTGAATCGACGAACTCTTGCAACGCGATTGCCTTTTTTATGACTCGCTTCCTGAAATCCCTAACTCCCGGATCCGAGCCGGGGACGGAATCCAGCCTGAAGAGCAAACTCATGAGCGTCTCGTTAACCTTGAGCCGCTCTTTGCCATCCCTGCAAATCAAATCCGTGGTACCCGAGATCCTGATCTCCACCGCGTTAACCTCGCTTCTTATCCCGGCAATCCTCTTCATGCTTTTCCTCACCAGGAATCCCCTGAACACCTTCTGGATCTTCCTCGCCGCCGAGTCGGATCTGCGGAGCAGCAGATCCGAAGGAGAAGGAGAAGCGACGTGGTGGACTGGGATGGACACCACCTTGCGCGCCGGCGGTGAGGGAGTGGGAGACGGCTCGGTGGGGTAGTAGTATCGACGCGGGTAATTCCATCGGTTACTGTAATAGAACGGGCTCGCCATGGGTGGAGATGGAACAAAAATTGTGCGAGTCGAGTTTTGCTTGTTTTAAGTTATCACGCTGATTGAAATGGATTTTGAAGTTTGATGGAGGAATCAGGTAGTAGAATGCAGGTATATTTATAGGGAAGACGGGGCCGACTTCCCAACGGAGATTCCAGAAGTTTCAGGGGAGGAGAGAGAGAGAGAGAGACATTTCCTTTCCTATACAATGTTGTGGAGATGATGAACACGGTTTTCCGATTTTGAAGCGGAATGGGTGACGTGGCGGGGGCTGCCCTTTCCGCAAGCAAACCCGTCGACGGACGGCCGCGTTAAACGACGCAAGCCATGTCGTGTTGGAATGGATATTGGATCAGTTATCAATTCCAAATTTACTGCATGAATTAACGGTCTGATGATGTCAACAAGTCTGTGCACTACTCAATTGAAGGTTGTTTGGATGAAGAATTGTAACAAGTTAATTTGATCCATTTATTATCATAAATTTTGGATAGGTCGATTTGGTCTTTGATAATATTTTTTATCGTTGTCTCACGTAACTCATTTTGTAAAATGACACAATTAACCAAATTGTCTCATTTCTCAATTTATCTAGGGTTAATACCCTAGTTTGGCCCGAAGTTTAGCGTTAGTGACCGTTCTGGCCCCATTTTTCAAATAAGACATTTATGGCCTACTTTTGAAATTATTGGACAAATTTGGCCTATAATTTAAATTGACCGTCAAAATTGACGGTCAACTGTTTTTCCGTCAGTGACTCAACATACTGTGCCGACTGGACCTGTACACGTCATTATTATTTTTTACCAAAAAAAGTCATTATTATTTAAAATAAAATAAAAAGCAAAAAAATAAAAATAAAAGAGAGAGAGAGAAGGGGCACGAACCACTCTTCCCCTTCCTCATCTTCTTTCTCCATCATCCTCCCCAAATACACATAACCCTAAATAATCAGAGACCCGCCACCAGCCCCTTCCCAGGCCAAATCGCCGCTAACAAAACCCAGCGCCGTCGTCTTCTTCTCCCCTCGCCAAATTGACGCCCTAAACAAATGAACCCAGCGCCGCCGTGCTCTTGCCAAACCCGCCGCCGCCGGTTCGAGACAATCCCCAACGTTGACGCCACCCAGGACGCGTCGGTGCTGTCCAAGCTAGCTCGCCTCTGTCGCCATAATCTCCGGTTGTTTCTTCTTCCCTTGGATCACCCCGCCGCCTACTGGTTCGACAACGAGATCGACAGATCTGGGACAGGGAGATCGACAATCCGTCCCCTTCCCTCTCTTCTTTCTCTCCATCGTTGAACCAAACACGCGCCACCACCAGCGCTCCCCATTGCCTCCGCGGAAGAGGAACCGTCACGAGCCCGACGAGGAGAGAAATAAGGACAGACAGAGAGCATCGACTTGTGATCTTGTGGACGGGATCTCGAGTGAGCAGCAACAGAAGCAGACGGACAAAAAGAAGGACAGGGAAGATGGAATGGAGGTAGCTAGAGATGGAAATGGTGGCGAGATGGGTAGGGAGGATGGGTGAAGATTTTAGGAAATCCATTGGGTGGGGAGGGTAGTGAATTTGGTCGTGAGGGCAGGGAGTTAGGGTGAAGATTGGATTTTGGTTTTTTTGTTTTGTTTTAAGATTTTGTTTTTGAATTTTTTCAACCTAAAAAAATGATGTGGCAGTTATCTCGGATCCATCTCAGCATTTTGATGCTCAGTCACTGACGGAAAAACAGTTGACCGTCAATTTTGACGGTCAATTTAAATTATAGGCCAAATTTGTCCAATAATTTCAAAAGTAGGCCATAAATGTATTATTTGAAAAATGGGGCCAGAACGGTCACTAACGCTAAACTTCGGGCCAGACTAGGGTATTAACCCATTTATCTATCCAAACATCGTGATAATTTTGTCTCTCAATTTTGACTTACTAGGCATTTATTCTATCGCTATTTTTTACATAATAGTAGCTTATTCGAAGGAAGAATATAGTAAAGTGAAATTAGGTTGACTTATAATGAATGATAATTCGATTTACATCATTGGATTGAGATCTAAGTAACGTCAAATATAATTTGATTTGATTCAAATGATCAAGACGATTTTTATTAGAAAAAAAAAAACAAATCAAATGTGCTTCAATTCAATTTTAGCCCTCGCATTTTCTTTATTGACGAGCTAATCATCTAGTGATTCGATTTAATTTTGGATCAAATTAATCCACTCCTGGGTCCGAGTGTTGATGTGGCCTTTTTTAGTTTTCAGTAGTAATATATATAAGCCGATATGCTTATCAGGGCATTTTGAATGGACAATCAAATTGAAATGGAAGAGAATATTGGAATGACTACAATTCTCCAACTACTTTGTCGAATATTTAGCTCCATCCTTTGTGATATATCCTTTATTGGAATAATTTATCACTTGAGGGCATTTGGTCTAGTGGTATGATTCTCGCTTCGGGTGCGAGAGGTCCCGAGTTCGATTCTCGGAATGCCCCATTCTGCTAACGTTTTTATTTTGAATTTCAAACAGCATCGTCAATATCATTACTCCCCCCTGCCAACCTAATAAGCAACAAAACATGTTTTGGTTTTGGGAACATGTAGCCTGAAAAATAAATAAAATGGAGGGTTAAAGACACATTTGGTCACTGAGATTACAAAATCGGGACATGTTTAGTCACTAGAAAAATTTAATATCAAATTTGGTCACTACAATTACTAAAACTGGACGCATTTAGTCACTCGCCTCCGTCCAACTCCGTTAATGAAGTCCGTTAAGTGCTGATGTGGCTAACAGAATTGCCTAATCAGCCGGATATTAACCCAACAAAAATAAAACCCGACCCGCCACGTCATTATAACCCGCCACCTCATTAAAACCAACCCAACCCAACCCATCACCCAACCCTACCCAACCCTTCTTCCTCCTTCCTCCCCAACCCAATTTAGGGTTTTCCCCATTAATCTGCCGGCCGCCCTTCCTTCATCTTCTTGAGGAATGTGGCGGTGCCGGCGGCTCGGAGCTCGGTGGTGAAGATTCAGGAAGCTACTCTTGCTCTCCTTCTTCTTCTTCTTGTTCACCTCCCCCCTCTTCCTCTCTGCCTCTTCCTTAGACAGCCATGACGACGATGAGCAACCACAACTGCCCAAGAAAAAGAGCAGCAGCAGCAGCCTATCATCATCACAAGCAACACCTAGCACCAAGCCTTCCAAATCTACCATTTCCTCTGCTAACAAGAATCAGACCATGAAACTCACCAAGAAGACTACTACCAACTCTGCTGCTATCGAAGATGCTCTGTCTTCTTCTTCTTCGAGTGGTAAGAAGAACCAGACCAAACTTATTACCACCAAATCATCCAACTCTACTAAATCAACATCACCCACCAAGTCCAAGGCCAGCAGCAGTAGCGATTCTCTACTCACCACGAAGAAGAAGCCCACCAATTCCACAGCTGATACTGCTCAGCTCCTCAAGAAGAAAGACAAGAAGCAGCAGCTCAATTCCACTTCCACTCCCACACCCACCAAAATCAAAACCCTAGTTTCAGATCCATCAATCAAGCAATCAACTTCCCCCAAAAACAAAACCACCTCCAAATCACCCACCACAACCAAATCCCAAACCCTAACCCCCAAGCCAGCTCCTCGAACGCGTCGGCCACCTGCGACAAGGCCGTCTGCTGCGATCTGGCGCGATGGGGGAATAGATTTAGGGTTTCCTCCACTGCTGCGATTGAGGAAGCTGACGCTGGCGGGCGACGAAGAAGAAGAAGTGCAACGCGAATCGAAGAGAATCTCAAGGTTTCGTTGTCTGCCGGCGAGGGAAACTGACTGCGATGGCGGAAACGCGCGACTTCGAAGAAGTCGAACAACGCGACTTCAATGCGACGGGGAAGGGGAAGACTCCCAGTTTTCAACGCGACTTCAACGCGTCTTCAACCCGACTTCATCTCTCCCTGCTCTCTGCTCTCTGCTCTCAGGGTTTGATCGAAAATGGCGAAGGGGAAGAGCTCGGGAAGAGCTCGAGGAAGGAGAAGGGTCTGTAATGGAAACAAATCAATTTTGATTTGTTTAAGTGGCCTCTGGTCTGGTTAGGTGGGTTAGGGTTTGTTTTTGGGTCGGGTTGGGTTAATGGATTGGGTTGGGTTTATTACGTGGTGGGTATAGTGACGTGGCAGGTCGGGTTTGGTCATTTCCGGCCCAAAACGGCGCTGACTAGGCGCTCACGTTAGCCACGTCAGCACATAACGGAGTTTTTTAACGGAGTTGGACGGCAACTAACGGCGAGTGACTAAGCGTGTCCTGTTTTAGTAATTTTAGTGACCAAATTTGATATTAAATTTTTACAGTGACTAAACATGTCCTAATTTAGTAATCTCAATGACCAAATATGTCTTTAACCCATAAAATGGAGTTATACATCATCTACATTCACAATCTTCTTGTCCATCATAATCCACTCGCCATTACACAACATTCTCACTTCTCATGCTGCAGACAAGGCTGGAAATGCTGTGGCCAAAGAGTAAAAAAACGCAGAAATCAAGTCAGGAGGAACAGATTTACGCTTCACGCTTTCACCCCAAGCTCATTCTGTTATTAGATGAAGCCCCATCAGTTCCCCTAGGAGACAGTAGTGCCCGAGCGAAGCATCTCTCCAACGGGGGCAAGTCGAAGCAAGCATTCACATTGCAGCAGCAGGGCAGTTAGGCGCCTTTGACTCCAGCTCTAGCTAGGAAACCAATCTTAACATAAACCAGTGCTAACGAACATTAGAACATAAACCAGTGGAAGCTACTAGGTTTGCCTAATGAAGCAGTCATTAGTTATTACTTCTGTGTCATCATCAGCCCACACAGCATGAGCAGCTAGCAAATCACTACGGAGGAACTCGATCTATCCTCTGAAAGAATGTTACAGTTCCATGTTCAACTTCCCAAGTATCCTTCATTCTCATAAGGTATCTGTGAGGGTCCACTCGAGATGGGCGAGCTGAT